CGAAAAATACAAAAATCAGTTGTCATGGTGGCGGGCGCCTGTAGTCCCAGCCACACGGGAGGCTGAGGCAGGAGAACCGTTTGAACCCGGGAGGTGGAGGTTGCAGTGAGCAGAGATCATGCCACTGCACTCTAGCCTGAGTGACAGAGCGAGACTGTCTCAAAAACAAACAAAACCTGACAGAAAAGGGCATGGGCCAGGCACAGTGTCTCCTGCCTGTAATCCCAACACTTTGGGAGGCTGAGGCAGGTGGCTCACCTGAGGTCAGGAGCTCGAGACACACCTGTAATCTCAGCTACTCAGGAGGCTGAACCCTGAGGTCAGGAGTTTGAGACCAGTCTGGCCAATATGGCAAAACCCTGTCTCTACTAAAAATATAAAAATCAGCCAGGTGTGGTGGCAGGCAACTGCAATCCCAGCTACTCAGGAGGCTGAGGCAGGATAATCGATTGAACCCGGGAGGCGGAGGTTGCAGTGAGCCGAGATTGCGCTACTGCACTCCAGCCTGGGTGACAAGAGGAACTCCGTCTCAAAAACAAAAAGAGGATGTATTGTATGATTCTATTTATACAAAATGCCCCAAATAGGCAAACCTACAGCAAAGAAATTAGATTAATGATTGCCAGGGGATGGAATTTGACTGCTAATGGGTGCAGGGTTTCCTTTGGGGTGATGAAAATACTCTGGAATTAGATAGTGGCGAGGTCTGCACAACACCGTGAACATACTAAAAACCACTGAATCGTACACTTTAAAATGATGATGTTTATGGCTGGGCACAGTAGCTCATGCCTGCAATCCCAGCACTCTAGGATGGTGAGGCGGGTGGATCACTTGAGGTCAGGAGTTTGAGACCAGACTGGCCAACATGGCGAAACCCCATCTCTACTGAAAATACAAAAATTAGCTGGGCATGGTGGCAGGCACCTGTAATCTCAGCTACTTGGGAGGTAGAGGCAGGAGAATAGCTTGAACCCGGGAGGCGGAGGTTGCAGTGAGCCAAGGTCACGCCACTGCACTCCAGCCAGCTCCGTCGGGTGGGGTGGGTGGAGTCAGAAGTCAGCCCAGATGGCTACTCCCAGCAGTAGGGAAGCTGCAGGGCCAGGTTGAGCTGGGCCGGGTGCCCTGAGGTCAAAGGAAAGGAAACCCCAAGCTCCAGTGGCTGCTGAAGGTAGAGCTGGATGGAAGATCTGCGCCATGGCCCTGCCGGCCCCCACCCTTGGGTGCCCCTCGAGGTCCTAATTCCCTCGCTTCATTCTTGGCACCCACTTAGGTTCCCAGGCACAGCAACTAGGAGTGGCTTCTGTTCCCTTGGCAGCTCTCCCTCTCAGAGACTGGAACCCTAAAGGGAAGCCACCAGGTGGGCAAGGGAGGGTGGCTCCTTCTGCCAGGGCAGAGGCAGGGCAAGGTGGGGGCATGGGCATGGGAGGCAAATCCTGGTAAGAGCTCAGGACTGTTTCTTCAAGGCCATCTAGTTGGTGTCTCAAGGGCAGGGACCATGACCAGATCAGGGGGAGGCCACCAAAGGCGGCTGTAAGGCAGATGGGCCTGACCTCCTGGGCACTCTCCACCCTCCATCACTGACACGCCCCCCAGAGCCTGCTTGAGATCGTCTGGGACAACAGATGCCTGGGGAAACTGGTGACACAGCTGAAGTGGGGTCCAGGGACGGTCAGCCAGCAGTCACTTGGCACCTTCCTGATAAGAGCAAAAAGGAACTGTCTGGTGGCAGAGGCACGCCTGCCAGACCTGTCTGCTCTGG